TAACAAGCAAAGTTTTCATGTGGTTTGACCGTTATAGGTCCGACTGATTTGAGAACATGGGAGGCGAGAGGGAGTCTGTTCTTCTTCTTCTTCTTCTTCTGTCTCGTCTCTCTCGGGACGGACGGCAGAGTGTCTCAGCGAGTCTTTTGGCGTGAGACGGGCTGATCGCCACCTGAAGCCATTGAAGGCTCCCGGGGGTCAAGGGTCAAAGGGGAAAAAAGGTTTAGACGCAGGTTTCTTTTTGAAAATCATGGTCAGCAAGTTTTGCACACATGCTCACCATCTACACCCTGTACACCATCTACACCATCTATACCCTGTACACCATCTACACCATCTATACCCTGTACACCATCTACACCCTGTACACCATCTACACCATTTACACAATCTACACCATCTACACCATCTACACCATCTACACCATCTACACCCTCGACACCATCTACACCCTCGACACCATCTACACCATCTACACCCTGTACACCATCTACACCATCTACACCATCTACACCCTTTACACCATCGACACCATCTACACCCTTTACACCATCTACACCATCTACACCATCTACACCCTTTACACCATCTACACCATCTACACCCTTTACACCATCTACACCCTTTACACCATCTACACCATCTACACCATCGACACCATCTACACCCTTTACACCATCTACACCCTTTACACCATCTACACTATCGACACCATCTACACCCTTTACACCATCTACACCATCTACACCCTCTACACGATCGACACCATCTACACCCTTTACGCCATCTACACCCTCTACACGATCCACACCATCTACACCATCTACACGATCCACACCATCTACACCATCTACACCATCTACACGATCCACCCCATCTACACCCTCCACACCATCAACACCCTCCACACCATCTACACCATCGACACCATCTACACCATCTACACGATCCACACCATCTACACCATCTACACCGCAGGACGCCAAGCAGCCCTCTGAGAGTCTTTGCGAGGCGCCGATCGATGGCCATTGAGTGTGAACAAGGAGGCCTCAGGATCGATAGGGGCCATTACAGAGAAGTGCCCACTGGGACCTGGGAGAGGGGGGGAGGAAGGGGGGAGGAGGGTGTTGTACATCTGGGCTGTTAATGGCGTCTCCTTTACCGCATTGGTGGGAGGTTTTTACTCTGCGTGCCGGGGCAAATGTACGCGCACTCACGACCGGTCCAACGTGGTACCGGATGTGCACACGCACACGCCGGCTAATGGAGACAAACTCATCCTCGATCTCCCGCCACATTTAGGATGACGCAGAATCATTTTAAAGCCTTGATCTGCCTTTACTGAAAATGTCCCTAAGTTTGAGGAAATCTTTTTTTTTTTTGTAATTTTTGTAAAGAATAACCGGGAATGTGGCATTTTCATCCCTTTTGGGATCCGCCTCCCAACGCGCTCTCTACCTGCTCCGGTAATAACAAAAGTCCAATGAATGCTCCCCTTTGTAACCGCACAGCACTCATCCAGGTGTGGATCACATGAAAGGCAGCCGGGCCGGTCGGGGACACGACAGCGGCGCGGCGGCCTGCGAGCTGGCTCCTGCACCCATCACCTAAATAATGACCATTCACCACATTTAATCCTCCAAGTAAAAAAAAAAATTGCAGGAGAGCAGAATCGGTCCCGTCTCCACCAGCGCCGGCCACTAAAACATCAAAATATGGTTGAGAATTGGGCCCTGGGATGATGATGATGATGATGTAGAGATGAAGGACTATTAAAAGTCAGGCAAATGCTTTTACCAGCGCTGATGAAATTGGACGGAGGTGCCATTGCAGCTCCTGCAAACGCTGTCCAAAAAAGCCCTTCTGTGGCTGATCAAAAAGAACGTGCACACACACACACACACACACACACACACACACGTGCAGTATGCACACTGATTTTCCGGGCTCACTTAGCCGTCCCCATTGGTTTGGAAGGCCGTGGCGAGCTATGGCTGTTTGAGCAATCAGGGTTCTCTTTGCCTTTGGACACGGCCCAGGTCAGACGGCACAATACACCCCTGTGTTTGGAGAGTGGGGGAGAAAGAGGGGAGGGACAGGACACACAACCGCAGTCATGCCAGTGTCTTGAGTGCACACGTATGTATAAATTGGGCATGTGTGTGTGCGCGCGGCGGCGTGCAGGTCTGAGTTGGGGCTGCTGGGTCTCTCGCTCTTTTCCGCACTGGATTGCGAGGCCTCCCTCTCGTCTCCCCTCTTACGTTACATCATCATCGCTGCCGCCGTGTCACCTGGTAACCTCCGAGTGGCACTGACCCAACGGGACGGAGGACAGCGGACGGTCCCTCGGGGGGGGGGTGAGGGGGAGGGGGAGATGGGGGAGGGACCGCGCCGCCCAGCATGCCAGCCCACCACAGGGAATTTGTTTATGTTTCCTTGCTGCCAAGTTCCTGTCAGGAGGCGCCCCAAAGAGGAACTGCAGACTACTGCGTGCCGCTAG